GGACGGAGAGCCAGCCCCACCCCCGGCAACCGTCCAAGCCCCGAGCCCACCCACAGCCCTGGACCGCACCCTGCGGCCTGCCCGTCTTCAGGACTCCCTCCCCAAATGGCAGTCGGGGAACAGGATGGGAATAAAGTCCCTGACACCCACACCCCCACCCCCAGATGTACTGTTGGTGCGTGTTGTTCTATAGAGTAATTAAAAAGGGAAAGAAGAAGAGGCAGAGGCCGGCGTTGTGCCAGTTTCCCCTCCACCACTACTCTAACCCAAAACCCTAAGTGTCAATATGCAAACCTTGCCTATATGCACAGGCACAGGAGGCGAGAGTGGTGCCATCCGGCCACCTATAGCTATAGCACCTAAAGCAGGTACTGGTCCTTATTACACAGTGGATATAAACTCCCACAGAGTCACACTGTTAAATTTATGTTTTTTTCCTTAAGGAAAAGTTTCTGACTAGACTCATTCCTTGCGTTTTATCATGATTTATATCGGCAAGAGTAAATATGTAATATTAGTAGTTTTCTTATGAGCACTCACATAGTAATTAATGCAAAAACTCCTTGAAGTACTTCTGCAAACGTTGTACTATTAACCATTCCTTTATCAAACTGTCACAGTTTGAAGAAGTTAGAAATAATTAATAAAAAGAAAACACAATTTATGCTGTTATTTATTTGTTTATTTTATTTTATTTTTACAAAAAAAGAATCTTTTCCATTTAACTTCCTTTCATTAAACATCATACGAAACATTTAAAAACTGTCAGTTTGTCCAGTGGTTTTGATGGAATCAGCTCTGTTTACTTTAAATGTTCCAGTTGTAGCTCATGTTTTCTTTTTGATAACAAGTTTTGTTCCACTGAGTTAAGTAGAGCACTTTGTAACTATAAGAGTTTATTATTGAGTACAGACTTAAATTACCACCACCAGCCTGTGAGGGACACACAAGTTTGCACAATAATCGTAAAGCAAAACTAGTTTAAATCTCTTGGATTTTTCTCCTCTGCGAGATACTTTTTATTCCACGGAGAAAACATTCAAAATTAGCGTTACATAAAAAATACAGACAGAAAAGACAAAGTATAAACATCAGTAATAGAAAGAACATTTTTCCAGCTGTAAGATGTATAAAGCTTTGATAAAACCCTGTGAACAGCTGACTCCTGGGAATGTTTCTGTTTGTTTGTCTGACTCTGGATTTTATAGGAAAAACAAACTTCCTATTGATGATATGAAATGAGAAAAACTAGTTTTAAATATAATGAAGAAATTTTGTAACTGATTAATTGAATATTAGATTCAGTTTTGTATTTTATACTTTCTGATCATTACAGCTTTAAGGCCATAACAGACAAAGAGTTGGTGTGTTATCATGTGTTCTTTCTCTTAGCCTAAACAAAACTGAGTGACGTTCGGACGTCTGACATAAAAGGTAACACCTCCTGGGATGTAACCAGGAAGAGATGTACATTATAAGGCCAATTCATTTATTATAGTAAAAGAAAGTTGTCAGGGTGTTAGAGTCTTTGTTTCTGAGCAGAGTTGCACTGCTGTGTTTGGGTTTTCCTGATATCAGCCCAAGGTCTGACTGAGGCCTGTGTGCTGAGTGCTGTTCTGTGAACCTGATTGGAGTCAGAAGATTGAAAATAAAGTTTTAAAGAAGAAATCCAGCTGAATCCAGTTTATTCGGACATACCATTTGTAACAACGCATATTTTTCCAACAATAAAATATTAAAACAATCAGTCAACAAACCTCTGGTCTCTTAAGGTCTCTTCAGGTCCGTCTGCAGGGTCTTGGTCCATCTAATCTGCATTGTAAAAAATAACTTGCAAGATTTACTTGAGAAAATCCTGTAAACGATTTGCACTAACGTTTGTTAAGTAAATTTAAATGCTACAAATTCATGTAATATTTACTCATCATTATCTGGTAAAAGTTTTTAAGAATATAGTTAACGATTTGTGAATAAATCAGGTAAATTTTACTTAATTTGCTCAATTAAATCTTGTAACATATACTTGATTAAATTAAGTAAAATATACCTGATTTATTCACAAATCTTAAACTATATTCTTAATAACATTTACTAGATAATGAGTAAATATTACATGAATTTGTAGCATTTAAATTTACTTAACAAACATTAGTGCAAATTGTTAGAGGATTTTTTTCTAGTAAATCTTACAAGTTCTTTGTAACAGTGCACATGCGTCAAGCACAATGTTATAGCATAGCACCTCACAGCTATAGAG